TGGACAGCAGGGTGCCCCTTTCAGGTCCCCCAGTGAGGCTCCACTCCAGCCCCGATTCCCCCAGGCAGGGGGAAATCCCGCATGAAGGTTTGCGCCCTCCAGTGCTGGGGGATGGTGCAGCCACCGGCTCCCCTACCCTGAGCGACGCTAAGCACAGCTGGCACCAGATGCCCGAGTGCTCAGAGCCCGCTGCAGGAGGATGGTTCTCCTGGCACCTCGGCGGCTCTGTATCGATCCCAGCAAAGGCCTTTGACCTCGGCGGCCATAAAGCTGCCGCTGTGCAAGCCGCGCGGCCTTGGACTTGTTCCGAGTGCACTAACCGGGGCAGCAGGCGGCTGGGGCCCTGGAACCCGGCCTGCTCAGACAAGAGGGGGGGTGGGCTCCTGCGTGTCTGCGTGGTCAATGATTTGCCAGGGCTGTGGCTGGGGTGGGGCGCGGCCCGGGCAGCTCGAGGGGCCGCATGCCGAGAGAGCCTGGGCATGAGCCCGGGGCCGGAAGGTTCTGCAAGATGCTGAGAGCCGGGCTGGGGACCCCGCTGGGCCAGGCCTGGGGGGCAGGAACCGCCCCTGGGGGGAACGTGACTGGCGGGGGCTAAGCTCTGGGGACTGAGGCGGCCAAGAGGAGAGCCCAGCTGGCAGCTCAGGGGGCAGCAACGAAGCTGGGCATGGGGGGGACCCTGGAGAGGGGGAGTGGGTCCAGGGACAAACCCAGAATATACCCCAGTCCCAACGGCAGAGGCTGGGGCCCCGAGCCAAGGGGCAGAGCAGCTGGCGAAGGTGGCGGGAGCCGGATGCCCTTTGGGCAGAGCAGGGGGAGCTGTGCACAGGACAGGCTGTGGGGGGCACGAGGGGATCCCAGTGCTGGTGATGGGGGGGCTGCTGGAGAGACCCCATCAGGACCGGCTTGGAGGTTCTGAACCTCGAGCCTCTTGGGCCAGCCGAGGCGGGCTGGGACTCTCTGGGAACGGGCTTTCTCTTGGGGACTCCGGCTCTGGGCCAGACAGACCCCGGCTAGCCGCCTGTCCCAGCACGGACCTGGCCACGGCGCGTTGGATCTGGAGCGCGCTCGGGCCAGTGTCATGGCACAAACCGGCACATTTCCCCAGCAGTGGCTGTCCCCGCCACGCCCAGGCCTGACTGTCTGGGGCTCCTGGCATAAGGCAGGGGATTGGTGGGGGCCTAGACTCGAATGTCTCCACACCGGTTTGCCCCGTCCTGGCTCGGGAATCCACAGACAAGCCCAGAGCCTGCCCTGCGGGTGGCAGTAACACCGGGATGCTGTGCGTTCGGACGGGGGCGGCTGGGCTGGAGCCAGAACCGGCAGGCGCTGGGTTCAGCGGGTCCCGACGGGAACGCAGGAGCTACGTTGGATCTGGAAGAGCCGAGGGCTCTTTGCTGTGGGGCTGATACGCCCGCCCCCGCCCCCTCGCCACAGCCCCCGGCTGTATCCCTGGCCTGGTGCCAGTCATGACCTTGCCAGAACACATCTGCAAAGGGGAGCTGCTCCTGCCAGGAACCGTCCCCACCTCCCCTCCCAGCTGCGCACGCTGGAGCTGAGCGGGTGGGATGGGATGGGAGTGGGCCGCCAGCCAGGGCTCTTGCAAGGAAGGAAAGTGAAAGCTGGCTGCCGCAGAGCATAAATACAGGCAGCCGGGGAAGGGGAGGCAGCATCTCAGCTCTGCCTGCTCCTGAGCCACAGGACGCCTCCGCCTGCCTGATCGCCCTGCCCCATCGCTGGCCAGAATGACCCTCCGCATCCTGCTGCTGCTGGCGGCTGCCCTGTGCAGCTGCAAGGCCCAAGGTACTGCCTGGCCCCAGCTGGTCCCCGCCTGGGAGGGTGCCCTGGGGACGGGAATGGGTCAGCAGGCGTGGGGTGCGCCTCGGAGCAGCTGGACCCGGGGGGTAGCCCAACCCGCTAGCCCTTTGTGCCAGCCGCGGTGCTGCTCGGGTGGGGAGGGAAGGGCGAGGGGAGAGCTGGCATACCTGGCAGTGCAGCTGGGGGCCTCAGCCTGGCAGGTCCAGCGGGGGCACCTAGTGATGGAGCAGGGAGCTCAGCTCTGGGGGCCTGGGCTCTAGCCTGGCCTCAGACCCTAGTCTGACCCAGGCGGGTCTGTGCAGTCGATCCCGCCCCTGGAAAGGGGGCTGTATGTGTAACCCAGGCCTGCTTGTTCCCCCTTTGGCCTCTCTAGTGGCAGCTAGTCCTTGATGAGCCAGCTACTGCCTGGGCTAAAGGCCACGTCTCTTAGCTCAGGCATTAAACTCCTGAGGTCCCAGGTTTGATCCTGGCTGACGCCGACTCGGGTCTGTCGGCGTGACTCTAGCGCTTGCCCATCTCGGGTCGATGCTTTGTGATTCCCCCAGCGAAAAGTGCTGTCCTCGGCATGTTCCCTGCGCCCCCAATGCTCAGCGGTGGGGCAGAGGCTGCTGGAGCAGGGGGCCCTGCCTGCTCGGGCGTCTGCCCACTAGCCCTGCGGGCTGATCGCCCCAGCTTGGGGAGAGCTTTATCAGCCACTCACAGGCTGCGGAGTGGAGATCACCTTCCTGCAGAGAGAAAGCAACTGCCTGGCTTTGTTCTGATTGGCTAGAAACCGGGTTGATTCAGGCGACCTCGTCAGCAGATGAACGTGGCGGGGGGTGTCCCCGTAGCGTGGCCGCTAGGAGCTGCGGGTCGGGAGTGCGGGGCACCGGCAGAGCGGTGTCTGAGAAACTCCCTCTCTGCAGCACCTGGGGCCGGCAAGCCCCATGCATGATGCTCAGTAAGGGTCTCGGGGCTGGGGAAGGTGCCTCAGGTTTGCATGCAGCTCTCCAGAGGCATCCCACCAGAAAGGCATCTTCTGCCCGCGTCTCGCCCATGCCCTTGTCTGCTTGCCCACTAGGGAGCGAGAACCAGGCGTCCGACTGCTGCCTGAGCCACAAGAATCGTCCCATCCCGCTCCGTCTCCTCTCCGCCTACAGAATCCAGAGTCCCGAGACAGGCTGCCGGCTCTCAGCTATTGTGTAAGTACCTGTGGGCGCCCGGGGGAGCTCTGCGGGTGCGTGGGGCACCTCCAGGGATGGAGACTCGGTAATCCTGCCCTTCCCCATGGCTCGGGTTTGTGTTAGGATGGGGACAGGGAGAGGCGGGGTTCTGGCTGTCCCCAGATGTGTCTGTCCCGTCCCCCCTTAGCAACTCTTCTGTCATGACTCAGGTTCATCACCAAGAAGAACAGGAATCTCTGTGCCCCGCCCAGTGCTCGCTGGACCATTGACCTGATGGAGAAACTGGATGGGAAAAAAGGACAAAGCACAGCGGTCGGCGCCGTGAAACATGTCCGCTCGAAGGGAGCTAAGCACCGCAAGCAGAGGAAGCCCCAGCACTAAGAGGTGGGGACGGCAGAGCCCCAGGGGGTGCCGGGTGTGGGGAGGGACGGGCCACTGCTGCTCCAGGGAGCTGAGTCTGCTGTCAGCCAGTGGAAAGCAATCCAGCCCCGTGGGCAGCCGGGCGGCTCTGCCCTGCCATGCGGGGGCGCTGCGGGCTGTGGCGGAGAGCGAGTGGGAGTGGGGGGGATTGAAGCAGCAGGCGTGCTGGTGTTGAGCGCAGTGAGATGTGAAATGTCCTGGGCCGGGGGCTGGGCCGAGCCCATCTCTGCCTATCAGGGCCTTGCCGGCCGTGGTGGCGGAGCGGTGACTGGCCGGCCTGGCGATGGCACACGGCGACCGGTCACTAACGGCGCGTGGTGACGCCCCGACGACGCTGCCTGGGGCTGGGGGTGTCTCATTCGCGGCTGCTAATTGGGAGCCACTAGAAAGGGGGGTGCTTTAGGAAATGGGGGAGGGGCACAGAGCTCCCCCCCCTCGTGCGAGACCCTCCCCTGCTCTCTCTAACTGCTCTCTCCCCGCCCAGGGCACCGGCCGTCCCCGCCCCGGCGCCTGCCTGCCTGCTCAGTTGACCTCCGCAGAGCCCCCCGGACTGCAAGCAAAGGAGACCTGGCTGATGCCTGCCCTGGGTGTGGAGGGCTTGGCTTGGGGCGGTGTGTGATTTCCCCTGGAGATGCTGCACCTCCTGACCGCGTGCTGCCTCCTGCTAAGCATCTGTCACGCCGCGACTCCCTCCCGCGGCTCCCGGCCAAGCTCATATCCGCGGCTTGACCCCCCGCCCCCCCGACCTTTGCATGAAAAGCCAGAGGCTGCTGCTGCTGAACACGCCTTTCCTCAGGGCCAGCTCCAGCGAGGTCGAAGGGAGCACGTGCCCTGACCGCCGGGGGCTATTAGTCAGCGCCTAGGTAACCCTATAACCCTGCTCCCCTCCCGCTGCCTCCACCACTGTGGGCAGGGCCAGTACCTCTCCCAGAGGGAGAGATGTTTGCCCACAGAGCCTCGAGACAAGGACTTTGGTTAATTAAGTTCCATGCAGATATATGGTTGTCATGAAAAGATACCCAGGGCTTAGTAATACCAGCAAAGACTGCAGGCTGGCTGGACTAGCAAGTCCTTATTGCTTCTCTCAAGCGCGCTTATCTGGTTTGATTGCTTTATTAGGTGGCTCTTTCAGACTGTATTAAGAAACTGTGACGTCCTAGCTACTGCAGGACATGCTATGCAGGAGCTCTGCCCTGCACGACGCGCTGTGCCCTCGCCTCGCCGGGAACGCACAGCCGATCGCGAGATGAATTCAAGTCAATAAAAATGATTTAAAACTTCCAGAAGCAAAGGCGTGCTGGTGTGGTTGGTGTTGTGAGAGTGCCGCGGGGGGGCTGGGTCGCCTGAGAAATACGGACGAGCGCTCCAGCTCCACCACCTGTTGTTGGGCTGGAGGCCGGAGTCCCTGGGGGAGGCTGGTGGGTCACACCCCATGCGCGGGGGTCTAACGGGTTTGGGGTTGAGGAGGAATTTCCCCCGGGCCAGATTGGCAGGAACCCTGGGGGGGTTTCACCTCCCTCGGCAGCGTGGGGCACGGGTGACTTGCAGGTGGGGGAGTCTCTGTCACAGGAGGGGGTGGGCGAGGGTCTGAGAGGGGCAGGTCAGACGGTCCCGTCTCACCGGAAAGTCTGAGTCTCTGCAGGCATGTGTCACCGCAGGGATCAGCCCCAGCCAGCGAGTATGCGGGGTGCAGAGCCGGGGGCCCCGGGTGAATCCTGAGGTGACTGCAGTCCTGCTGTGCTCTGACTGGGGGGGCTGGAGACAGCTATTATTGCCTGTTAGCAGCATGCACAGCCCAAGGCACGGCCCCTGCATGACAATGGGACCTGGTCAGGCTCTGCCTGCTGGCCCCCACCAGCCTCCTGCGGGGAGACTCCTGCATCGCAGCCCCGGGTGTTAAAGCTTCCCTGGATCTCAGCAGGCTGCCGCACGGCTTCCTCCCTGGGCCTCGCCGGCACATTTCCTGGGCCCAGAGCCTCAGTCTGCTGGACCTGTGTGGAAATGGACCCCCCTCCCCCCCGCCCACCTGCCCTAGGCCACCAGGGGCAGCGCTGACCCCCAAGACGCCTCGGTAGCTCGAACAGGGGAGCGGCCGATGTGGGGAGCCCTCCTCTAGGGGCTCTCAGAGACCTGAGATGTAATGGTTGTAGGAAAACGGCAAATGTCCAAGGGTTCATGAAATAGTGGCCAAATGGGGCCCACACAGGGTTAATTAGGTGAGATGGGGTGGGGGTCGCTCATACTCCCCTGACCAGGAAGGCAGCCGGTCCCTCAGGCCTATGTGATGGACTTTGGCAGGCAGCCAGCCGGCTCCTCGGGGGCCCAGGGTGGTGACGGACGGGGTCCCACTCCAGGCACCAGTGTACGTGTCCTGCTGTACTCTGACCCCCAGCGGGAGTGCAAGGGGGTGGTTAATGGGGAGACATGCATGGGGTGGAGAGTCTGGGACAGCGAGACCCCTTGTCACACCCTGTGTGCTGCAACCCCATCGAATGCTGACGGGCTGGGTGACCTGGGGGAATTCAAGGAGCCAGAAGGCTGCGGATGCAGGTGTCAGTGAAGATGCAAATAGCCCGGCTGGCAGGGAGGAGGGGAGGGGATTTCCCCCGGGCTGGTAACATACAGGAAAGGCTGCTAAGCCCAGGACACCTGCCTGGCTGTAACCGGAGCCCTGGGCCTGGCGGGGGAGGAACCCCGCACCCATCTCCACACGGGAGATGGGAGGGGGCCAGCTCCCCGCCTGCCCTCGCTGGGGAAACCGAGGCAGAGCTGAGCCCCCAGCTGAGCGCGGGGAGAGCCAGGCAGGGCAGGACGGCTGCCAGGCAGGGTCGCCTTGTCCCAGGCTGAGAGAGGCCCCAGGGGAGGGGGGGCGGCTGGCAGGACGCTGCTGGTAACAGAGGCGCCTGGTCAGAGGGTGGTCACAGCCATGGGGGGTCCTTCCCCAAGAGACCCCGAATCTCAGCCCTCCAGGAAGGGGGGCCGGGAGGGGGCTCTGCCCTGGGGGTGAGGGTGACAGGGAGACCCCAAGAGGGGAGATGGGCTCCTGGCACACACAGCTCCAGAGGGGACCTGCCCCAGAGCATCAGCGCCCCAGAGATCTGGCTGCGGTAAGAACCAACGCTCAAGGGGTCACTCCCTGTTCCACCCTAGAGGTCAGGGGACATGGCCGACACATGGAGCAGGTGGTGTCACTGCCCCCCTCACTCCTTGGCAGACGAGGGGAGGAGGCAGTGGCAGGACCCCAGCCCAGTTTCAAACCCAAAGATGTTGGGGTGGGGAAAGGGCCCGGGGGCCCCACGAGAGCTCCTCCTGTGCCCCCTGCTAGAGCCACCGAACTGGCCAGATGTCAGGGAGGACATGACACTACTCTGAGCCGTGCACTGGAAACCCTCAGTGTGCTGGCTTAGCAAGAGGCTGTGCGAATCCTCGAAGTGCCCGGGGAGACAGCTACCGAGGGGAGGGGAAAGATGCTGTGGCATCCGTGGATCATTTGTGGGTTCGAAGGTCCCTGGTTAAAGCGACCCTGCTTAGTTTGGTCCTGAAGGGGGAAGAGAGGTGACAAAGTGGGAATATTTTTGTAATTTACTTATGAGGCCTGTTTGTGCCTCAGTTTCCCCTATGTGCTGCCTTGTGACTCAGTGGGTGGAAAAGGACGGTTAGCTCTGAGGGCAGGCTGGGTGTCGCCTCGCTGTCTGCACCTTGGTCTCCTGGCAAATCCAGTCACCAGGACCTGGACCCCTCGCACCCGACGCCCCTGTGGGAGGAGGAGCTCCCCGCCCCTCAGCAGGGAGGCTGAGAACACAGGACTGGGCGAGGAGTGAGATGGGGGATACGGGTTGGCTGCCGGAGGGAGTCGGGGCTCTCACTTTGGAAGTGACCAAGGCGGGACACACAGAGCTGGAACCAAGGGGGTCACTCCAGCTCGGCTGGGCTCTGGGCTGACCACACTGGACCATTCTTTGATTTTCTTTTCTCTGTGCTACGCTAAGGGCTTCCTAGGCTGTGATAATTGGGTAAGATCTGAGGTATGTATGGACCTGGTGCTGTGACTGATCTCTTGGGCTTAGAGGACCCTACATGTGATGAAACTGGTTTTCAGTAACCACTCATCACCGAGCCCAGGGGCTGGGTGATAAGACAAGGGCCGGAGTGCCTGAGGAGGCTGCATCTCTTGTTAACCCGTGTGGCGAGACAGAAGTTTACTTTTGTTACTGGTTTGGTATATCTAATGGAAGAACCACCACCGGTTTGGGGTGAGCCTGCCCTGTTTCTCAGCAGTTTGTCCTGAATCGGGTATTCTCAGCTGTGACCCACTGAGGAAATGATTAAAGAGAGTCAAAATGCCGGCTCTCCACAGACCCCGGCCTGCTGGCACAATCCTCTAGGAAAGCGTCTGCATGTTACACAGAATGACAAATTCGTTTCCTTTTGATTGTTCTCAGCAAGACTTGGTGTGGTGGGGCAGCTGCCCCACTCTGGCTGAACAGGGGTTAAAAGCAGCCCTGGGGCTGGGATAAGAGGAGTGAGAGCAGCTGAGGGAGTGGCTGACTGCAGTCCGCCCCAGGGAGCGGGGGCTAGATGGTGACTGGCAGTAGCCACTGAGGCAAGGTGGGTTTAGGGTTGGGGGTTCCCCTGGGAGGGGAGACCCAGTGTGTGGGGGCACTGATGGGGGCAGAACCCCAGGGTAAGGGGCACCAGGGTCTGGGAGGGACATGGGGCCGGAGGCAGGTGAGCCACTGGCCGGCAGAGGGTGCTCTCAGGCTGGAAAAGAGCTAATTCCCAGGCAATCAGCAGGCGGCACCGCGCCAGTGAGTCATCGCCTTGCTACACTTCGTATTCCACATTATTAGGATAATGTGCCCCTCTCCCCCTGTGGAATTGTTGTCTAGTAAAATACGGGCGATCTTTGTCATGGAAAAGTTTTCATACTATGTACACAAGAAGAGAAACTCCAGAAAGAGGACAGAAGAGAGACAAGGTCCTATCTTTTATTGGACCAACTTCTGTTGGTGAGACAAGCTCTCTCTCCCCCACCTTGTCTCGCTAATATCCTGGGACCAAAACAGCTACAACAACACTGCATACAAAAAGAGGCCAAGAATGTAGAAATTTGGTCACCCTTTTTAGTGTAGTTGGGGGGAGAAGGGCTCCCCAGCCAGAAGCCGGACTCTTTAGCCAGGTTCTTTGAATATTAACTTGATCCTAAATAAGTAATAAGCACTGTCTGATGTCGTATATTACTGACTTACTGTAAGTGAGCCTTAATAAGTCTTCTTTAAAGAGAGGCTCGCACCCGCTCCAGCATCAAACCACCTGCGAGGGATACGCACGACTTGGCACACTGCAAAGACATGAAAGAACAATTCTCGCAAAGCCAGAGGAAAACACCTCCGTTGCCAAGCCAGTTAACAAACAGAGCAGGTGATCAGTTGTACCTGTGCTGATGTAGGTGTTAGGGGGGATTGGAGAATGGGCAGGTCGTGGGATTCATGTTTAATTTTGCAATGGCAAATAAATGTGACAAAGGATGTGATGAAAATTGGTTCCCAATAGGGGATGTAATAGTGTGATTCTGCCTAGGAATGTAGCGAACTCGCCTTTCGGGCAGTGCTTGGCGAGCCAGGACAGCCCTGGGGGGCAGGAATACAGCTCGACTCTTGCACTGCCTTGGCGCTTGCTTTAACACTGACCAGGAGCAGAGAGAAAGGGGCCACCTGATCACAGAAGTAAGTGTTAGTGGTCGCTTAAGTCTGAGTGATTGTGACCTGATCATCTTTGTAATATACAAGCAGAATAAAGTCCAGAGCAGTAGTGTGTGTGTGTGTGTGTATATGTGTGTGTGTGTGTATATATATATATATACCTGGTGCTTTCCTAGGGCCAATTGCACAAAGCTGAAAACAAGTACACCTCTACCCCGATATAACACGAATTCGGATATAACGCGGTAAAGCAGCGCTCCGGGGAGGGGGCTGCGCACTCCGGTGGATCAAAGCAAGTTCGATATAACGCGGTTTCACCTATAACGCAGTAAGATTTTTTTGGCTCCCGAGGACAGCCCATTGGTCCTGCCATGCGGGCAGGGGACTGGACTCGATGACCTCTCGAGGTCCCTTCCAGTCCTAGAATCTATGAATCTATGAATCTATGACAGCGTTCTATCGAGGTAGAGGTGTATGAGCCAAATCAGCCGGGAGGAAGAATTTAATCAGAGAAATGTGACTGATCATTGGGATCTTTATGGACACTTTACTAGGTGTCCAAAAGTCACAGTCCCA